TCCTGGAAACCACAGATCCACTTTCAGGCTCTATAGATTTATCTCTTGTAGACAATTTATATAAATGAAATCTCATAGTCTGTGGTCCTCCATGTCTAGTCTCTTCCCCTCAGCATGATGATTTGGGGTTCCTCTCTACAATGCTTTGCCTCTCTTGCCTGGTGTCAGACCTAGCCCAGTTGGTCAGTTGGGGCTTCTGCTCCCTCCAGCTCTCCACAAACACAGGCCCTGTGTTCCTGCAGGGCTCCAAGGCTGCCTTACACTGAGATTGAGGCTCACCAGTTTCCCTGCTCAGGCCAAATCTTTAAATAATGATGGACAAGCACAGGCTTGGCACTCACGATGTGCCAAATGCTGTGCTTAGCACTTCCTATGCACTGTATGATATAGGTAGTGGGAATTTTTAAAAATATTTTATTATTTTTATTTTATGTGTATGAGTGTATTGCCTGTATGTGAATGCACCCGTGTCATGCAATGCTGCGGAGGTCAGAAGAGGGCTTCGGATTCCTCTGGAACTGGAATTAAGGACAGTTTGTAGCTGCCATGTGGGTGCTGGGAATCAAACCTGGTTCCTCTGCAAGAGCAGTCAATGCTCTTAACCGCTGAGCCGGGAATTTTTTTTTTTTTTTGAGACAGGGTCTCAAGTAGCCTGGGGTTGGCCTTGAACTCACTATGTAGCTGAGGATGACCTTGACCTTCTGAACCTCTGCCTCTACCACCAGAATTGCTGGGATTACAGGTGTGTGCTACCATATTCAGTTTCTACAGTACTGGGATCAAACCAAAGGAGGCTTTGTGCATGGTAGGCAAGCACTCTACCAACTGAACTATGTCACTAGCCCTAGTTGGTATGAATTCCCACTCCTAGGGTGAGGAAGCTTTCATAGACAGTTATTAGGCCCCACCCTTTCCCACTAACAAAAAGGGCTAGACTTTCTGCCAAAGACCCATGCCATCTACCAAAGACCCATTCTCTGCCCAGGTTTTCCCCAGCTTCTGTTTTCTAACATTGTGACCTCAAGTAGGTCAGTTAACCTGTGTCTCCCTTTTCTCATCTGAAACTGGAATTTATAAGGACCTGCCTTGTAGTTACTACACAGCCTAAAAGTGCTAACAGAGGCAAAGCCTGTAGTTCATGTGGCATGTAGTAAACACTCATTTTCTTGGGGAGGGAGCAAATGGGAAGAGAGAATGAAAAGATGGGCCTAGGTGTGAAGCCCAAGGAAGTCAGATAAGTAGACACAATGCTGAGAAGGGAGGGAATTCTGTCTGTTTCCTCCATCATCTCTATAAACCCCTGCAACAAAGCTTTCACTCCCACAGTACCCAGGTCAGATTTGACAGCCCCTGTGTGGTCAATGTCCAATCCAGGCCCTCTTCTGACACTTGCTGCTCTACAAGAGGATGAGAAGGGCCCTCCTTTCCTCTGAACCCAGTCCAGGTTGGTCACAATTCTTCACTTCTCTTTGGCCTGAGGCTTTTTATAGCCATCATGGGCTCACAGACTATGGTGAAGTGGAAGTAAGGGGTGCCTTGAACCTAGTGCCCATTGTATGGTTGGGTTCTCAGTCCTAACCCAGATCCCTAAGCCTAGTCCTGGCAAATATCGCCTTCCTTTCAGTCCCCCAAACTCCATCTTCTCCTATGTATCTCCTAGGGCCTAGCATTTACTCCCTATCATTTACTTAGTCCTGGCTATGTATCAAGGACCCTTCCTTCAGCTATATACACAACAGCTCAAGAAGGCAATGTTACTATGATCTCCATTTCACAGACTAGAAAATAGTGGCAAGAGAGGACATGTGGCTCAAGGCCATGCAGCTCAAAAAGGGTGACGTGGGATCGGTTCAAAAATGTCCTTAGCTGGGGGACATTTGGATAGACATTTCTTTTAGCCCTTGTGAATAATGCTGTTAGAAACATCAGTGTACAGGTTTTTGAGTTTTCAGTTTTTTGAGTTCATACCCAGGAGTGGGATTGCTCAGTCACATTCTGACTCTGTTTAACCCTTCAAGAAATTGTCAGCCTGTTTTCCAGAGGAGCTGCACCATTTTCTATTCTTTACAGCAGTTGTATGAGAGTTCTAGTCTCTCCATATCCTGTTACCACATCCTGTCTGCAGTCCTTCTTTACTGGGATGAAACCTAGGACCACTGGCTTGCTAGGAAAGTGTGCTACTACTGAGCTATAGCTATGCCCTATGTACTTGAGACAGGGTCTCAATAGCCTCAGTTCAGGCTGGACTTGAACTTGAGATTCTCTTGCTTCAGTCCCCAAAGTGCATATATGTGTGTCACAGCAGCTGTCTGTTTTCCCCACCTAAAGGTTTAAAAAAAACTTTTTTTTAATAAGACTGGGCATGGTGGTACATGCCTTGAATCCCAGCAGAAGCAGAGGGAGGTGGATCTCTGTGAGATGGAGGCCAACCTGGTTTACAGAGTGAGTTCCAGGCCAGCTAGGGCAATAGGGAGACCCTATCTCAAAACAAAACAAAACAATACACCTTTTTTTCATTACATTTATTTTTTATTTTTTTATAGTTTAAAATT